CGGTGCCAAAATAGAGATTTTTTTTAAAGCACATAATTGTTCATCCAGAAATGTTTTTCCAGTGCCAAGCATTTTAATGTTTTCAAATATCTCAGTGTTTGGCATCATATAAACCAAATGGACAGATGTTTAGCTTTCTATTTCCCTCACAAATCACCCTGGCATTTACAAATGTGCAAAAATAATCTAGAACTTTCCCTAACTTGCTGACCCACATTGCCATCTTCTTCGCTAAAAGCCAGTGTTTTTCCCTGGTCCTCCTCTTTTTATGCACTGCTAGTTTCTGAAGTCTCTTAGCATGGCATCTGACAGCGTTCTGAGACTCACAGATAAACTAGCACATGCATTCCCTCCCACCACATAGCTGAATCCAGAGGGATTTTTAGTCAGTAGCATAAGCGCTCCAAGTTCCCCATATTGGGCTTTGCCTGTTGCCAAGGTGACAAAACCCTGGGAATAGTCACTATTCCAAAGCACACAGCCAGACTTCCATCACTATGATCTATTCCATTCTCTGTTTAATCTCAGCCCCCGGAGACAACTCAGGGGTTATACAGGATTGCACACCTGCCCTTCCATCAAACATCAACAGGACCTTCGTGTCATAATGTAGAAGGAACCCTGGGGAACTCATGCAATCAATCCACTCCCTTTCCACAAAATTGTTAACCTAACCCCAAGTAACTGAGTACTCTCCATATTTAAAAGACATCCCCTTCCTTCCAACAGAGAAGATTCTAACACACAACTCCCAGTACTGATTGACTTCCACCCTGAAGGACCCCTGGGTGACCCAGCATCAACGCCCATTGCATTTGGAGATCAGCATTGGCAGATAGAGATGGAAGAAAGTGACCTAACACCTAGGGATGACTCAGACAGAATACTTGGAATTCTGGAAAATATTGGGGGGAATGAAAACAGAAAAGCACAGCCAGTTCGTCAAATGTTTTCCAAATTAGATTACTCATGCCTAAGAGAGCCCAGAGGTCATACAGTGTCCACTCAGGTCAGTTCTGGGGAGTTGTGGGGGTTAGGATTGTCACTCGTTTTTCTTTTTTTTCCTTGTTTTTTTCGTTTAACTTCCCGGGGGGAGAAAATGTAATGATTTGAACTGTGTTTGCTTGACTCCAGTCTTCCTTGCCGTAATGAACACTTGAAGAAAATTGCCTTTCAAAAGAGAGTAGCTTTTTCATTTCTCATAGTTTCCTACAGGGGTTACAAGAGGAATAGTAATGTTCAGAAACCATCTATTCAGCCAACCTTTCATCAACATTTATGAAAGACCTACTATGTGCTATGTTGAATGATAAATACTCAGCAAGAAAGCACCTTTGATACCACCCAGTGTGTGGAACAGCCACTAACGTTCAGCAGCTGAGCTGGGCAGCATGGTCTTGAACCAAGGTCCTCCCAGAGCATGCTGAAGGAATCAAAATGTCTGTAACAGCTCACCAGCAGCAGTGAGGAGAGGGCTGGGGGACTAAGAAGATTGTAGCTCTCCTTACTCAAAAACAAAGACTCTTGGCTGACCTCTACTCACTCATTAAAACCCAACCCACATTATTTATTTGGCAGAAGTTTTCCCATCACTTCTTCCTGTCTTTCCCCCTCCCTCCCCTCCCTCTTCAGATGTTTCTGGCTCTTACCACATCTATAACAAGTTTCTGAACTGAGTTCCACATAGCCCTGCAGGACAGTAATCATACAGGTTTATTGGTCAGCTAAGGTAGAACATCATGGCAGAAGGGCATGGCAGAACACAGATACTCAGCTCAGGCAGCCAGGAAACAAACCAAAGGAGGAAGGTTCCAGGGACAAGACATATTCTTCAAGGACGTGTCTCTAAGCACCCATTTTCTCCAAATAGGCCCATTTCTTAACTCTATCAGCTGGTGACCAAGCCTTAGTACATGTCTTTCAGGGACACCTCAGAGCCAAAGCAAGCACAACACATTATACTTGGTTGCCTACCACTGACAGTCAGGACTCAAGGGTGGGGTCTCCATCTTATCTACACCAGATCCAGCAGAATATTATCCACATCAGTATTTTGCTGAGTAATGAAGGCATTGCATGGAGAGGAACTCTGGGACACAGACCCCAACAAAGGTCACGAAGAAAGAATAAGACTTGGAAGTCAACTGCAGAGCACCGTATTTCCTATGTGCCAGGCACCATCTCCACTCTTTGTATATAGAAACTGAGCAGTCCTCATATGAACGAGGGAGCAGTGCCAGGGGGGTGAAGTCAATTGCTCCCCAAAGCAAATCATGTAAATGATAGAGGGAGGATTTGAACTTGGGCAGTCCTACCTATTTTGAGCTCTTGTCTTGTATGTGAAACAGCTTCAAAGACAGTGTTCTGGGCTAAATTTTGTACTCCAGGATCTCAGTACCTCAGAAGGCAAGTGTATTGATAGATAGAATCTTAAGAAATGATTGTTTCAGAATGGGATATCTAGAGTGATCCAAACCCAGTCTGAATGGAGTCTGGAATATGAAATTTAGGCACACGAAGAGACGAGTGTGTATGCAGAGGAAAAACCAGAAGAAGACAACCATCTTCAAGACAAGCTCAGAGGCCTCAGCAGAAGCCAACCCTGCCCACACACCTTGGTCTTGATTGTCTGACGTCCTGAACTGAGACAGTCCTGGGACCCACAGGCTGTTCTGTCTTACTATAGTGATCCAGCAGAGTGAGTCCCAGGCAGCTGAGCCATCGAAGACTTGGGTCACCAAGGGAAGAGTGAGTCTGAGGAGAGCAGGCCCGCACCTTCCATACTTAGGTTCTTGGTGTCGCAGTGAATAGATGACTCCACCACGGTTCCCAGAGGACCACTCTAGCCTCGAAGGGGCCAGAGTCCAGGGCCCTGAACTGGAGTTTCCTTGCATTCTTATATGCCTTGGCATGTTCCCATGAGGCTTTTCTGTTCCTGTCTCATTGTGTGCTCCTCAGGCTGCCAGGCATTGGGGGGCACAGTGGGCAGGTGGGGAAGCTGCAGGTGGGAAGTCCTTGGAAGACTCTGAGGTGGGGCCGCCATCTCTGCTGTCCCTGTCAGAGCAGTCATTGGCATCTTGATGGGATCATTTTACAGCTCACAGTCACCCTCCCCTCACCCTGCCTCTGCCATCTGGTCCCCTTATGCTTCCACAGAGGGCTAGTAGCTTCTTGGTCTAAGTACATTTGTCAATGGCTTATAATTTCTCTTGTCATGATCAAAACATTTACTCTCACATTAGACAAACTTCTGGAAACTTGGAAGAAAATGACCTTTCCCCCATATGATTCTCTTTAACCTGAACTTGTGATAAATGTGGGTTTTTTAAATCAGTTAATTAAAATAAATGACCCAAAATTCCTAAAACAATATAATTCTACAGTTTCATTTAATGCTGGATAATCTAAACACATACTTTATTTAAATATCTTCATTAGATCAGATTTGCTCTCATGCAGGTGGTACAGGGGCATGGGATAGAAGTGACTTCACCTCCCTTGAAGCCCAAACTGAGAAAATCCCGTGTCCTTAATTTCTCCTCTGTCTCTCTGTCCTCTGTCTCTATCTCTGTCTCCCCCCACCTCCCATCTCTGTCTCTCTCTCCTCTCTCCCTCTCCTTTCTATTCTTTTAATGTATTATTGTGTGTTTGTGAAATGTGGGGGTGTATACATGTCATAGCACACATGTAGAGGTCAGAGGACAAGTTTGGGGAGTCATTTCTCTCCTGCCACAGGTATGAGTTCCAGCAATAAAACTCAGGTTATCAGCTTTGGGTAGCAAGTGCTTCTACCTATGAACTGTCTCACTGGCCCATCTTCCTTTCCTTTCCTTTCTTTTTGTCTTTTCTTTTGAGAGGTCTTGTGACATAGTCTAGGCTGGCCTCAAACTTGAGACAATCCTCCTGCTTCTGCCTCCCAAGTGCTAGGAAAGTTTGCTTGCAGCTTCGATTTGGGGTTCCGTTGCTTAGGACTTCCACCTTTCCCAATTGCTTTCTGCCCTCCTGATCCCCAATCCGCCTCTTTTATCCGAAGCTGACGATCAGTAAAGGGCTTTAATCTTTAGACCTACTCTACTGGCCAACCCCATCGTGCACTTGTCAAGTGGGTGGGAGGTCACAGAGGATAGACTCCGTGACAATGTCAGCCCTGCCTTCGGGCTATGAAGCCTGACTAATGCGCTCTCCTGACTCCAAAACTTTACAAAGCCAGAAATGAGGTCTGGCTGCTTCCCAGTGGGCCCCAGGCACCAATGACTGCTGGCACACTGAGTGCGCACAAGTAAGAGTGCAAATGGATTGTTTTCTTAACCATGTGACACTGTCAGGAAAGGTGGGATGAGGGAGTACAAATGACATGTGCCCATTATGAGAAACAGTGATGGGAAGCTGAGTGACGCCTTGTGTTTCTAAGTTTTGTAGTTTAAAAGGACCTGGAGCTTCTTTTGGTTTTCAGATCAACAACCCCACTTCAAGGGCAGTGGAAGTGTCAAGTATTTATAGGGATTAATGACATGCTGTACCCAAGTGTCCAACACTTGAACATAGCGGCTCAGGGCCTGAGCCAGGGTCATGTGGGCTGGGTGGCTATACTTCCAGCCACACCTCAGTGTCTCTCAAGACAGTGCTCAGGCTTGGGACAGAATATCTTCAGGACAGCGGGGAATGCAACAGAGCTGACCACGAATGCTCTTTGACCTCTTTCTAGGGCCAAAGGGAGAAGGCTTGGAAGGGAGGAGGCTTTACATATCATGATTTGAGTGATAAACGTTAAGTAGCTTGGGAATGGAGAATGGGGGTCCCACCAGGCTAAATTCCCCATGCTGATCAATGCACAGCTCTTGAGTCAATTACTCACAGCTCTTACACCACAATCCATGAGGCTTCTAAGCCCTGGGGTCTGAAGCAGCCCAGAAATGACTGGAGATTGTGACACCGTTCCAACTTTTCTCCCCAACGGAATTGCACCTCCGAGTTGCCAACCAACGGGAACACTTTCATCCTCTCTCTCTCTCTCTCTCTCCAAGGAAACATGATCCCAGTGTATCACTTTGTGATGTGGTCCGGAGTTTGGGTCCTGCCTGGCCTTATGCTGGCCACAGGGAAAGACTGAGATCATTTCAATGTCATCTCATGTTCCAGGTTCTTCTTGCCTGTCTGTCCCTTGGTGTCACAAGGGTGCATCTTGCCCTAACTACTGTCCCTTTGGATGGCTTCAGTGGACACCGAACTGGCTCCACAGAGATCAGAGACAAGGCAGAGTATAGTCTCCTTGACCACAAAAGAGGAAATACATCTACTCCACAGGGATTCATTGTGGGTAAATAAGAGACAGGCTTGAAGTCTGTCTTCTTCTACACCTAGAAAAGTAGATTCCTCACGGTTGTGGGGCTAACAAGAAGCTGGGGTGTTTGTCAAGACTTACTGCTCTGCCAGTTCCACCGTTCCTCTGTTGTTAACTTCTTTATTGACTCTTCGGGGGTTCCACATCACGCACCCCACCACCACTATTCCTTTTAACCGGGATTCATGACTGTTTCATTTGTCCTGCTTTCCACGTGGTAGCTATCTACTGGTGGATTCACGAATGTCACATTCACCAGTGTCTCACTCCGGCCATTGCCATTCTGTGCAGCCCCAGCCACTTCTTCCTAACTGGATTGCTTGGTGAGCAACTCTGTGCTCATCCCTGCTGGGAGCCTCGGCCTCCTTCCCCCTGTGCACAGGAGCTGCTTCCGCCTGCTCACAACACGTGACTATTAAGATCAATCCACGTGAGTGTATTTAATGGGTAACGGGGATTTATTAAGATATAAATTGAAGAAATACACTCACAAGTAAACAGCTGAAGTCGTCCTCTATTCTGATCGGGAGCGAATCCACCTGGCAGTCTGATCAGACCAGGAAGCAGGTAGCAGGGAGAAGGGACTCGTGACCCTCTTGCTCTCATATAAAGACGGTCCCAGGAATTGGGAGCACAGCAGGGAACAGAAAACACTATGGCCCTTCTCTCATGGAGTCAGGACAAGGGTGGGGAAGGAGGGGCGGTGACCCTATCATCTACCAGCTGTTGGTGACTGAGAACAGCAACACAGGAGACTGTCACAGAGGCGTGGTCACAGGGGAAGTGTCCTGACAGAAGTGTGCAGGGTTCTGACAGGGAACCTGGGGGAAGGCACAAGTGTGCAAAGGCCCTGAGGTATAACAGGGCTCCAAGTCATTTCTTACAGGGGCTTTAACCTGACACTCTAATTTTTATTCTGATCTTTCTTTTCAGAATACATGATTGCTGTGGATATCGCTCTGTATAAATAAAACACTAATTGGCCAGTAGCCAGACAGGAAGTATAGGTGGGACTAGCAGAGAGGAGAAAACAAAAGGAGAGGAAGGCAGAGGGGAGGAGACACCAGCTGCTGTTCAGGGAGCATCACATAGAGGCAACAGGTAAAGCTACGGAACACGTGGCAACATATAGATTAACAGAAATGGGCTTAGTATAAGAGTAAGAGCTAGACAATGGTAGGCCTGAGCTAATGGCCGAGCAGTTTAAATAATATAAGAGTCTGTGTGTTTATTTTATATGTGGGCTCCGGGACTGGCAGGAGCTGGAGAGAAATTCTCCATCTACACATGATTCTTTTCCTTCATGGTGAGATGGTAAGAAGGCACCCATCCCACCTCTCTCTCTCTGTATCTCTGTCTCTGTCACACACACACACTCAGTTTTAATTAGCCACTCTCTCTGGACTAGAATCCCCAGGGTGGTAGGGAATCTCATCTCTTAGTAGACTTCTTGCATTTGCAGATGCAAGTTCACCCTCTTGGTTGGTGATCAACTATGTGAGAATAATTACTAAATGACAACATCATAAGTCTTCCACACTGTTACTCATCGTGTTTGAATTTCTTTAGAAATCTGTGTGTGTTAGCTGTCTTTCTGTGACTTTGAAAAATATAACCAAGATAACAGTGATAGGAAACTCGTGATTTGGGGCCTTTCTATCTGTGGTTAGCTGGCTCCATGACTTCCAGGCTATGCTAAGGCTAAGTGTCACAGTATGGAGCAAATGTCTCACCTTATGGTGGCCAGGAGACAGCAAAGAGGATCTGAAGACAAACTACACTCTCCATGGGTCTGCAAGTGGCCTACCTATTCCAGGCAGGCCGCACCTCCCAGTAGCTCATTCAGCTATAATTTGTCAAGGGCTTAATGAGTTAATCAGGTGATGACCCTCATGGTCCCACACTCTCTAGCCTGAGCTTTCAGTGTGAGTCTCTGCAGGAACACTTCCTATCTAAAGGAATACTTTGCCCCCTCAGCCTCAAAGGCTCATCTCTGTCTCATGATGCAGAAGGCCCCAGATCTCAACAGTTCCAGGACTATACCCAAGTCCAAAGTATCTGAGACCAGAGGCCAAGTCTTAGCTGTGAGCCCCATAGAATTCAAAAGACATCCCATACTTCTAACATAAAATGGCATAAATGTTCACATTACACAAAAAGTAGGACTAGAAAAATTACAAGGAGGGGTGGGGCAGAGCACCCCCAAAATCCAGCAGTGTAAACATTAAGTCTTTTAACTCCATGTCTACCATTCAGGGCACAGGGTCTAAGATCGGCTCCAATGACTTAGGCCTGTCTCTGACCTTGCTGGCTGCAGCCCACAGCTGGCTCTCCGCTGGCTCTGTTTGCTGCCTGCAGCTTTCTTTGGCAGTTCTGTGTTCCTGGCATCACCAACTTTCTGCGGCGTAGATAGCAGCTTTGTTTTTACTTTACTCTGTGGACTGTGGACTGCCTTTTCGTGAGCTCCCTGTAAGAACTCCAGTCCCGTCACATGTGCTCTGCCTCCCCAGACCTTCTTTGGAAATCTTCAGAAACACAGAAGCGGCCATGATGCTAGAATTCTTGTTTCCTGCTGCATGCCTACAAAACCAACACCTTGCAGACGATGCTAAGGTCTGCTATCAGCCTGACAATAGTAGCTAGCCTCCCCGCGCCCCCCCGCCCCCCCCACAGGCCACAACTGCCATTCCTCTGATGGCCTGGATGTCTAAAATCAGGGGAACTGTTCCTTAAGAGACCCTGTGCAAGCAGGGTACGCTAGAACCCTCCTTTCAAATGAGGTTTTGTGTTTATAACTTTGAGCTTGCCAGAGTGCAGCCAAGCAAGTGCCCAGGGCATCTTTCCTACTATCTGTGGAGTAACTGCCTCCTTCCTGGTGGCACCAATTTCTGCAGCCACACCTTATTTTTCCTCCAAACACTGCAAGTTTCTACATCTTTTTTTTTTTTTAACTTCTTATTCTCATTATAAACTTAAAGCAGCCAGTAGTATCTATACCATAATGAATGCGGGCATGCCTTAAAATTCCCTTTGCCAAGTTAGTCTGTCATCTTTAATTCAGCCTCCCATGGTCTCAGGGAATGAACAAAATCTAGAGAGTTCTTTGCCAGATCGTAACGTGAGCGGCCTCTGCTCTAATTCCCAGTAGAGACTTCCCATCTGAACCCTCATGAGCACAGTCTTTTCTGTCTACATTGCTATCAGCAACGTGGCCTTCTGAGCTTCCACAAGGACAACTCACCAAGCCCTCCTTATAGCGTCCTTTTTCTAGCCTGCTTCTCTAAACGTCTCCACGTTCTCTCTATAAACTAGTTTGAAATGCTCCTGACCGCATGGGCAGCTACAGCCACAAGAGCAAGCCCACGTCTGCGAGCCGAGTTTTGTGTTGATCACTTCATGCTGCTGCAACAAATATTAAAGGAAAACAACTTAAAAGGAGAAGGGCCAGTGAAATGGCTCAGAGGGTAGAGGTGCTTGCCACCAAGCCTGGCAACTTGGGTTTAAGCCAAAAGCCCACATGGTAAAAGATGAAAAACAACATCTGAAAGTTTTCTCTGACCTACACATGTGTGTGTGTGTGTATGTGTGTGTGTGTACACAAAATATTTTATATATATATATACATATATATGTGTAATATATATAATACATATATAGAGAATGTGTGTGTGTATGTAAAACATCTGAAAGTTTTCCTCTGACCTCCACGTGTGTGTGTACACAAAATATTATATATATATACATATATATGTGTAATATACATAACACATATATAGAGAATGTGTGTGTACGTGTGTGTATGTGTGTGTGTGTATAAAAATAAAGTTACTTTCTTTGGAAATATCCCTTGACCCCAAAGAGACGGAACTTTTGGCAGACCTCACAGCAAAGTTAAAAATAAGCCCCAGCCACAGATCATTTAAGACCACGTACGTACTCAATCTGCTATCCTATTATGTACTCAGCCTATTTAAGCTAACTCGCCTTTAAGAGACAAAGCAACCAACTTTACTTGCATTGGATTTCCCATTGAATCAGCTTGTGCAACTTAAACTAACTTGTAGCTTTAATCTTAGGTTTTGTAGTCTCCCATGCCCTTGACCCAGAGTAATATATGTGTGCAGGGGTGTGTTGTGGTAATCTTTTGCTGAAAGCAGTCAACAGGTTGTGTGATGACTAATCTCTACATCTACTGAAACTAGGCAGTATATCAAGACTGTGAGGGATTACCCCAGGTAGACCTTTGAAGGTGGAAAGACTCACCCTAAATCTGGGCCATATCTGGTGGAAGCCCACGTGAAAGAATACAGAAGAGAATACAGAAGGAGGAAGCTTTTACTTTTTGCCTGCTTGTGCTCACTCTAATAGGCAAGTTCATCTGTTCTGTTGCTGAGGCATTCCTTCCCTGGTATTAGAACCTACTTCTTTGTGATTCCGATGTAGATTACAGACCAACAGCTACCTAGGGATCCTCCTAGGCTATTGCACTAGATTGGGACTGCTGAAACATAGTCTCAGAGATTCAAAACCTACTGGATTCTTGGCCTTTCTATCAGGAGACAGCCACCAGCTTGCAAGCCATTTTTAATGAATCCTTTTTTTTTTTTTTAATGAGTCACTGAGGCTTTTATTTTGCATGTAGAATCACAGCGGTGGCAGGGGTCAGGGAGGTGTCTTGCCTGTGGCCACCCTGGAGATGACAATGGGGCTCCAGACACTAGCTGGGAAGGGAGGTGGCAGAAACAATGATTCGGACCAATCACATGATTACAAAGCTGGGGTTTCCAGCAGGGCTCTATGTGGTCAGGAGCTTCGAACTTCTAAGGAAGTGGTGGCATGGGAGGGGCAAGCACTGGGATGGCCTTGGGCCACCTTGATGACATCAGCGGCAGGGTCTAAGCAGCTAGTGGCTCCAGGGATCTCCATTGCAAGCTTTACTTGGCCAGGGGCTTCCTGAAGGACCTGCCAGCAACTTGGCAACTCTTCCTCCATTCTAAGGATCTGATTGTACTTGGCCAGGCCCCTGGATCAGCTAGGGGCACCAGTCCTGATCTGCCCCGTGCAGAACTCCACCACCAGGTCAGCGATCCAAGTATCCTCAGTGTCCCCAGAGTGCTGGGACTCCATGACACTCCAACCTTTGGACTAGACCAGCTTATACTCCTGCAGAGACTCATCCCAGAGACCAATCTGTTCCCTTTGAGCAGGAGGCAATTGCAGGACTTCTCTGCCACAGCCTTGGCAATCCATTTAGGGATGATTGCCATGAGGTCATTCCCAACTACCTGGATGCCTGCACTAGCTATGTGCTTCTGCCAGGCTTCCCAGTCATCCTGGCCAGAGGGGTCTTCAGTGGACCCCACTGGATACTCCCAATGAAGGACTTATACAGGTCAGCCAGCTGGTCAGGCAGGATGTACCTGTTGGAGTCGTAGGAGACTTGAAGTCCAGGTCATACTTGTCAGACCTGAAAAACTCAGAGGCAGCCATGTCCATGCTGATGACATGACACCCTGGTCAGGATAGTCAGCCTTCACAATTGTGGCCTTGAGCAGCTCCAGAGCGTCTCTGTTCTCCAGGTTGTTAGGTGCAAACCCACCCTTGTCACTCACATTGGTGACATCCTTCCAGTGTTTCTCCTTGATGACATTCTTCGGGTTGCAGTAAGCCACTGCTCCAATGCACGTGACTTCCCAAAAACTGGAAGCCCCCACAGGCAGGATCATGAAGTTTTGCAAGGCCAGCCGGTTGCCAGCATGAGAACTGCCATTGATCAAAGCTGGGAACGGCAGGATGACTTCAGAGTTGCCAGCCAAGTAAAGGGATACCCCCTTTTCCGTGGCACCAGCTTTGTAGACAGCCAGGGACACTCCCGGGATGGCATTTGCACCAAATTCAGATTTATTTTCAGTGCCATCCATCTCGGTTTGTCGGTCTTCTCTTGTTCCACAGCATTCAGTTTCTTGCTAAGCAGAGCAGGTGCAGTAGTTTTATTGATATGCTCAGCAGCACTTGAGACCCTCTTCCTCATGTAGTGCATCTGTCTTATCCTTGTCACAGAGTTCTAGGGCCTCGTAGATGCCAGTGGAGGCTCAGAAGCTTGGAAGAGACCTTCTGAGGTGTGGAGATCAACGTCAACAGTGGGATTCCCCAAGAGTCAAAGATCTCTCTGGCATGGATCTTGAGAACAGACATGGTGAATTTCTGGATCTCTGTACAGAAAGAAAAAAAAAAAGAGGTTTCTGTAGACACTGAAGAGAACATTGAGGAGAGACATGCACATGACCCCGTTCCTGAGCTGCCAATGAATCCTCTTTTAAAATACACATATTCATTCTATCAGATCTGTTCCTTAAGAGAAACCTGACTAATACAGTTTGAAAGCAACCTTATACAACAAACGTCTCACACAGACGTTGGAAACAACCTGTGGCTATAGCCTGATAACATGTTTGTCTTGCTCTTTGCTGTTCTGGGTGGTAAGGCGACATCGTTCCTAAGAAAACTCTGTTAAAGATTTCCCTAGCGAATCTCTCATCCCTTTCCCCACGGCATGCTTCGCGTGCTGCTCTGGGAGTACAGAGCAGAGCCCTTTGTTAGGGCAGACAAAAATCACAAGCACCACACAGGTGACAGAAAGGCTGGCAACCACAAACTACAAGCAGACAGAAGACACCGAGATAGAAGTGGAGAATTCAAATGGGTGCTTTCCCATCATCAAATTAAATCAAGAATCATTTTGTTTTCACTTTTCAATGTGAGACCAATGTGTTCTGGTGCCTCAAAGGTTATCTTTAATGTGCTAAGCAATGCACTTTGATTCTTTGTTGGAAAAAAACAACAGAGGAAGCATTTAATTTGGCTCGCACGTTCAGAAGTTTTAGTTTGTGGTTGCTCAGCTCCATGGTTTTCAGCCTCGTGTCACAGAGGGTGTGTCAGGGTAGAGGTGCTCACCCAGTGGGGACAGGATACATCCCCAGTGACCTACTTCCTCAACTAGACCCCACCTTCTAATTGTCCAATTAACAATGAATTCACCAAGGGAATGATGAGGTTAGAGCCTTAATGATCTAATCACTTCTCAAAAGCCATCAGCTGGTCACCAAGCTCTTGGCACATTAAATTTCAGGGCACATTTTTAGATTAAAACCACAACATAGCAAACTGGATGTCTCTGTACCAGGCTTTTTCCTTTGGGCTATGAACCAGCTCCCAAATCATGACACTGAGGCTTATTATTAGTTTTGAAAAAGCTTGGCCTTAGCTTAGCTCTTATTTTAATCTGTTTCTCTTTATCCACATTTTGCCTCAGGGCTTTATACCTTCCTTCCTTCCTCTCTTCCTTCCTTCCGTCCTTCCTTCCTTTCTTTCTTCCTCTCTTCCTTCCTTTCTTCCTCTCTTTCTTTCTTTCTACAGTGTTCTGAATAGTTGTGAGCCACCATGTGGTTGCTGGGAATTGAACTCAGGACCTTTGGAAGAGCAGCCAGTGCTCTTAACCTCTGAGCCATTTCTCCAGCCCCTTCCTTCCTCCTTTCTTTTTCTTTCTTTCTTTCTTTCTTTCTTTCTTTCTTTCTTTCTTTCTTTCTTT